ACACAGAGTCACTGTATCAGAAGGAATTGGCTGACACAGAAGAATTCCATGAAATAACATATGAGCAAGAAGAGCCTATGGTGTTGAAGGAGGAAGTTCAAGTTGCTCTGAAGGAATTGGCAAAAAGCAAGGCTCCTGGAGTCACAGCATACCTACTGATTTATTTCAACAGACACTCAGACACTGCCCTGGATGTGCTCACTAAGTTGTGCCAAGAAATCTGGAGGACAGCCAGCTGGTCAACTGACTGGAAAAGATTGATATTTGTTCTAATTCCAAAGAAAGGTGACCCAACAGAGTGTGGAAATCATCAGAAAATATCATTAACATTACATGCAAGCATGATTCTGCTGAAAATGATCCAAAAACATTTGGAGCAATATGTCAACAGAGAAATGCCAGATGGGCAGGCTGGATTTAGAAGAGGTCGTGGTACTAGGGATATTAACGCTAATGTTAGATGGATCTTGGCAGAAAGCAGAGAATACCAGAAGAGTGTCTATCTGTGCTTCATTGACTATGCAAAGGCTTTTGATTGTGTGAATCACAACAAGCTGTGGCTGACTCTGAGAAGAATGGGAATCCCAGAATTTGATTGTGTTAATGCGAAACCTATACTTGGATCAAGAGCAGTTGTCGGAACAGAGCAAGGAGACAATACATGGTTCAAAATCAAGAAGGGGGTCCATCAGGGATGTGTTTTGTCTCCATACCTTTTCAATCTGTATACAGAACAGATCATCCAAGATGCTGGGCTGTACAAGGAGGAATGTAGCATCAGGATTGGTGGAAGAGTCATCAACAACCTGCATTATGCAGATGACACAAGCCTGCTTGCTGAAACTGAGGAGGACCTGAAGCACTTGCTACAGAAGGTAAAGGACTGCAGTCTTCAATATGGACTGAAGCTCAACATCAAGAAAACAAAGATTCTCACCTCTGGGCCAACTGGCAGCATCAGTATGGATGGTGAAAAGATTGAGATTGTTCACAGTTTTAGTTTACTTGGTTCCACAGTCAACACTCTTGGTAACAGCAGCCAGGAAATCAATAGACAAATTGCATTGGGAAAGTCACCTGTGAGGGACCTCTCTGGAATACTGAAGAGCAATGAAGTCAGGCTGAAGACTAAGGTGTGCCTTATCCGGGCTACAGTCTTCACAATTACATGCTATGCATCAGAGAGTTGGACAGTGACTAAGATGATAGAAAGAGAATTGATGCCTTTGAGCTGTGGTTCTGGAGAAGAGTGTTGAATATACCATGGACTGTTAGAAGAACAAACAAGTTTTTCCTGGAGAGGGTGAAGCCGGAGTGCTCCTTGAAGTCAAGGATTCTGAAGCTTCATCTGACATACTTTGGACATGTTGCAAGGAGGAACTGGTCCTTGGAGAGGGGCATCATGTTTGGGAGAGTGGAGGGACAGCGCAGAAGAGGAAGACCCTCGATGAGATGGATAGATTCTGTGATTGGGGTGGGGGGCATGAATGTGTTTGAGATGGCAAAGTTGGCACAGGATAGAACGGCGTTTAAGGCTCTTGTACATAGGGTCGCTATGAGTCCAAATTACTCGATGGCACATAACAACAACTCTCTCTAAGTATATATATATTCATGGCAGCATTATTCACAGTAGCAATGGCCAAAGTCCCATCAACAAGCAAATAAATTGAGAAACTGTGGTACATTCACACAATGGAATACTACACATAGTTAAAGAATGAGAATTTAGTAAAATACTGTATAACATGGAAGAGTCTAGAGAACATTACATTGAGCGAAATAACTTAGTCTTATAAGGACAAATACTACATAAGACCATTATTGTGAAAATAGAAGATTAACTGAGCAGGATGTGTATAAATATTGAAAAAGGGAAGGGTAAATGGAGAAGAAGGTAGATAAAAAGGGATGAGGGCATGACCAAGGTTAATGGAAAGTTTGGAATGTGAAGAAATAGAAAATATTCAGTGGAGACAGACTTGAAAAGGTGAGATGATGCTGACATAAATCAAGAGTAATTAATTAAATAAAATGATAAAAAATACATATATATACATACATATATATATACATATATATGTATATAAAATAAAACAGAACACAATGCCCATGTATGAAACAAAATGTATACAAATGCTTGTGTGCAAACCAATAAAAAAAGAGGAGTTACTCAAGGACTCATAATTCAGGAGTTTCTCTAAATCTTTTGAAGATTATATACAATGAACACTGAATGCTCCTCTGTGCAAAATGATTTTTGGAAAGTGTCTTTCAGAAATACTGTCATTCACATTATAAATCCTGCATACAGGTAGATTTTGATTTTTAAGTCATTATATGAAAATAGTATTTTTTAAGTGTTTCTTGACCCAATTATCAGACCCAAACTTACTTTTTTGTCCCCCCAAAACTTACTTTTATCTGGACAATATGAATTTCATCACAACTCAGGTCAGCAAAGGATTTCCGCGCCTGGGCTTTTCGGTGTCCAAATTTACACTTATTTCTGATCACTTGTTCATCATCTTCTATGGGTCTTCGAACATATTTAAATCGATCTTTGAGGGCTCGTTTCCATAAAATCTGCATAAAGTAGCAAAAACAGGCCAGTTAATCTTCGAGGATGTTAGAATAACAGTTAGAATAGATAAACAGTAAAAATCTTAATTTGTCTATTACCTTTGGACTGGAAATAATTTTCACACCATAGTAATAGAGATAATACCTCTGCCTTATATAATTTTTCTTCATAACACACTGTGACATGACTATAAAAATGATAATCCCTAAATTATAGCTAAAGAGTTCAAGGACCAGGGAGATTAAAACATGTCCCCATGTCATATAGCTATCAAGTCAGTAACACTAGTTTTTGAAACTGGATTTTCCAATTCTCAAACTTTAATATTTCCACTGTCATCTGCTGTTTTTTAAAGCACATCCTCCATTTCTTGTGGTCTCTAGAAAAGAATTAACCTGATTATGAATTCAAGCACTGCATATGTGGATTGACATGGTAATTGCCGCAAGGGGCTCTTGTGTGTCAGGAAGTGTGAGGATGGCGCAGGATAGAACAAGGTTCAGATCTTTTCTTCATAGGGTCGCTATGAGTCGTACTTGACTCAATGGCACCTACCAACAACAACGATAACAAACTCCTGGGAAAGTTAGTGTTAGTGATGCACCTGTATCCTGTATCCTATCATCTATGTCTTTCTACATATGGGAAATGAACATGTCATTATATGGACTAGTGTACATACAATCACCCACACCGTGTACTTCCTGGAGTTCTGAAGAGTTTCTAATCCTGGTGGGAAGCACTGCAGCGATCAACTCCTCAAACGCTTTAAATAGCAAATCTTTCTCCTCAGACATCTCTTCTCTCCTCTACCAATTAACTTTCTGTTCTAAAGTGAAACACCAAAACCACTGATACCATTTTGATTCTGACTCAGAGCAGCTCTAAAGGACAGACTAGAACTGCCCCAAAGAGTTTCCAAGGTTGTGAATCTTCACAGTAATAGACTGTCTAACCTTTCTCCTTCAGAGCAGTGGATGAGTTATAATCGTTGAGACTTTGGTTACAAGCCCAATACTTAAGTCACTACACCACCAGGGTTCCTTAACTGTCTGATAACTCACTGACTTTGTTCTAACTCACAGTATTTTTAACCTAAATTTCATCATTTGGAAACTTGCAGACAAATCCAGACTGGGAAGCTGCATGGAACTTTTTGCAGTAAGTTTCAGGAAAAACAAAAGAGCAAGAAGATTGTCCTAGATTAAATTAAGTAAAAGAGATATTGACAAAGAAATGCCATACATGAGCCTCAATTAGTTCTACCTTTTAAAAAAATTCATTTTGAATCTATTTTTTTTTTCAAGAATAGACTAAAACTGAAAAGAGATCATATAGAATGCTGTGGAAAGATTGTTAATTTTCTTATGCTGTTAGGCACTGCTGAATCAGAACTGACCAATTCGTGACCCTCCAGTGAGTTTTCAGCAGCATTAATTACATGGGGGGAGTGGTTGTTGTTGATTGCCTTTGAGTTGAGCACGATTCATAGCAACCCTATGAACAAAAGGCTTGAAGCCCGTCTACAACTACTGACATTTATCAAAGTTCATAGAGTTTCCGGAGGCATGTTATTTAGGAAGTGGATGCCACTCGTGCTTTCAAAATTACGTGGGAGGGGCAGTAAATTGCACAATACTATAGAAATAGTATTAGAATATAGAATAGCATTAAAGTTACATAGAAAATAATCCCCACCCTCATGAGATAGGCACTGAGGTGTTCAGGAATGGTATCGGCAACTTACTTTTGAATGCTTAGCCAAAACACACCACCGGCCAGGCAAACAACCCAAGAAATGCTTGTATACAAGAAAAATGTAAGATATGTGGCAAAATAGTAACATCTGGAGAATCTGTATCAGTGATTTTCAGTCAGGGTGATTTTGTCCTCAGGAGATATTTTGGTAAAGACAATGTTTATGTTTGTCAAACTGAGGGGGACGGATGCTATGAGTATCTTTAGCGGGTAAAAGCGTGGGGCATTACTTATTTTCCAATATACAGAACAGCATTCACAATCAAAAATTCCTTCCACAGTCCAAATAGTCCCAGCACCAAGTTTGCAAAACCTTGATGTGCATCAAGGTGACAGGACCATCGCAAGGGCATTCTTTTAGTGGTAGTGTTCATTTATAATCTTTCAAAATAAAAATGGAATACAAAATGAGGCCTTAAATAACAATGCTCCTGCACACGCATAGTCAGGCATATTCATGTTCTCAGTAATTTTCAACAGGACCCCCACAGTAACGCAACAAGCATAGGTTTATGAGTCACAGACTGGGAAAAAGTATTTGGTAATGACAATGGCGCCAGATACAGGCCATGGTATTTGCAATCGCTTGTTATGCATCAGAGAGTTGGACAATGACTAGGGAGGACAGAAGGAGAGTGGATGCTTTTGAGCTGTGGTGCTGGAGAAGGGTACTGAATGTACCCTGGACTGCCAGGAAAACAAACAGATTTATCTTGGAGAGGATTAAACCAAGCTACTCCTTGGAGGCAAGGATTCTGGGGCTTCGTCTGACATACTTTGGACATGTTGCCACGAGGGACGGGTCCTTGGAGAGGGACATCATGCTTGGGAGGGTTGAGGGACAACGCAGGAGGGGAAGACCCTCTTTGAGATGGATTGATTCGGTGACCGGGGTAATCGGGATGGGTGTGTCAGAGGCGGTGCAGTTGGCGCAGGATAGAGCAGGGTTTAGGGCTGTTGTGCATAGGGTCGCTATGAGTCGGAAACGAATCGATGGCACATAACAACAACAACAATGACATGTCAGATAAGGGACTTTTATCTAGAATTTATAAAATGCTTGAGCACCACAACAAGGTTGTGTGCTGGAGAAGAATATTGAGCACGTCAAGAGAACAAACATGTCTGTGCTAGGAAGTATGAAACCAAGTTGCTCCTTGAAGGCAAGGATTTGTAAGCTCCCTCATACATACTTTGTGAATGTTGCCAGGAGGTAAAGTTCTTGGAGAAGGACATCATGCTTGGGAGATTGGAGGGACAGTGCAGGAGGGGAAGACTCTAGATGAGCTCGATTGACTCAGTGACTGGGGTAATGGGAGTAGGTGTGTCATAGACAATGAGCTTGGCTCAAGATAGTGCAGGGTTCAGAAGGTCCATGGGGTCACTGTGAGTTGCACGTGACCTGAGGGCACATAACAACAACACAACTTTTGAATTACATAAATCAATAATGTATACTGCACTGAAACAGAGGAGGGAGAAAACTGTTTAAAAGAGATATATAACTAGGTATTTCTGTCATCACAGGAGACTAGAGCGAGGGCTACATGGTGGAGGGGACCTGGGGGAGGGTTTGTAAAACAATGAAAGAATCTTTTCTTTTACTTTTCCATAATTTCTGGACTCATGTACTTAGAACTTGTTAGTCAAATTTGTGTCTTCTAGGTTGCAACACCCCCATGATACATCTTCAAGGATATGAACATGTACGGCCAAGCACAATCAATAAGAGTGCATCTAAATTCCAAAATCAATCTCCATAATAGTCTATGTGTTTCCTACTGCCAAAGGGGCCCTTTAGAGTAGTGAGAGAAGATCTTCACCCTGAAACCCACAGCGTCCCTTTTCAGCAGGAAGTAGCTAAGAGAATACGCCATCCCCCTTTCCTTATGAGTCAGGGTGAAATCTCTCTCAGGGAGGAGTGATAGGGAATGGCAAAGGACACACTGACAAAGAAGATTAATCAGAACTGGCTTTGACAAGCACTGTGGCATTTGGACAAGAACAAACTGGGAGGAGGGTAGAGAGAATAGTGCAACAATGAATGAATGGGAACCCAAAATCTCTGTAAATGTTTATGAAAATTAATAAAATATAGAAAAAAAATGTGTGACTTACTCAAATAATTGTTATTGTTTTTATTAAGTGTCATTGAGTCATCTACAACCCAGGGACTCTAGGAAAAATAGATCTGAACCTTGTCCTCTCCTGCACCATCCTCAGCATATCTGATACGCTCCTATCCATTGTTACAGTGAGAAGTTCATCCTGTTGGGAGTCTTCCTGTCTTTCTGTGATACTTCACCTTCCCTAGCTTTGTGTTTTTTCCTAAGGACCAACCGTCCCTGGCATCGTGCCGAAAGTATGTGGGATGAAGATCTACCATCCTTCTCTCTAAGGAAGCACCCTGGTTTCACAGGTTCCTGCACCAGAAGCATCTTGCTATTGACTGAGAAGCTGCCTAGATTTACTGACGCATTGTGTCTCACTATTAACCTGGCTATTAACCTACTGTTCACTAAACCTGAACTTTCACTGTGTGATATATCCTTTGTCTCCCCCCAACCTGTTTCCTTATAAACTCCACAACTGTAAATAAAAAAGAGACTCTACAATGCCTGTTGGTCATTTGTAATGAATGTCAAATCCAGTGATTGGTAGAAGTGCGTCCAACAGAGTTGGGGCCATGTCTGATCTTTTGGGGTTTTATACTCTGATGTTTTTGATGGGGACATTTCCCCTTTGTGGCATTAGTAGAGGGTGGACTTGGTCACCCCCGTGCTGCCCTTACTCCTCTTATATCTTGCTATGAAGGAGCTTCATTATGCATGGATTCACGTCCCAAACGATACTCTTCCTAGTGATTCTTTTTTGGCTGGTATTAAGGATCTCCCCCTCTCAACTTGTTTCCCTCCTCTTTAACCTCTAGTGTGATAAAAGGTACTACTAGCCACAAATGAAAAGAACTACCTGTATGTTCTGTTTTGGTAGTGATGGGATTAGGGGTTGTTGCATTCACCTCTTAATCCTCCTACAGCTATTTGGTTTATCAGATCATGGGAATTCATTACATAGCTTCTATATTATAGCATTATTTACATGTACTTTGGGAGAACGTATTTCAATCCATGAGAGCTGCACATTAGCATAATCTTGGGAACTTTAAAAATATAAATGACAGGGCCCCATCCTCAGACCAATTACATCAGAATCTCTGGAGACTCACATTAGTAGCCAGAGTGAGAACTGCTGTCCCAAAGAGTCATAGATTCTCCTATTATCGGGACAACTGAGAGTTGAATGTGATAGGGCAACTGAGGCTGGTGACCAAGACCTAAACATTAGACAACTCCACTGAGTCTAATCAGAAGATGAGAAACACTTTAATGAAGATGACATTGATTTAGCCATAGTACCTCCCTTCTTTTCCTACGGATTACATTTCCTAAAGACCCTCCTCATAGACCTACTGTCAACAGGAGCTTCTAAGTAGGATTGAGAGAGACTTAATGACAGCAGGGAGAGGCAAGAAACATACCAAGAAACCCTGAGTAGAGAGATTGAGACTAACAAGGAAGCATCAAGCAAAACAGAGCCAAAAATAAATAGACACCCTAACAGAGACAAAGGGAGCTCTGGTAGCCTAGTGGTAAAGAGCCATGCTGTACTCTCAATGGCACATGGTTCAAATATACCAGCTTCTCCCCTGGAGAAAGAAGGGCAAACCTCCCATGCAATTAAATGCCCTCTGAAAGCCCAATGGAGGGTCAGCTATGGGTTCGTTCCAACTCAACAGTCCACAACAAAGACAAAACAGACAGAGAGTAACACAGTGGGGAAAAGAAAAAATCAGAGATGAGACAAAAAGAAAAGTCAGAGAGAGAGAATGAATATGTAATATATTGAGGAAATGGAGTGAGGAATGAAGTCACTAGATAAGAGAATCACAAGGACAGCAGAGACTAGAGTGTTGGTGGAGAGGGTAACGGAGTAGGCAAGGTGATGTGGCTCTTGATGAGACAGACTGAGAAAAGACATTGATCAAAAGTGATTAATTATATAAAACACAATGTATAAAACAAAATGCACATGGATGATAGAAACATGTTCAAACAAAATCCTTGTATTAGGTGCATGGATCAAAACAGGACATTTAGAAACCACCCAGCTACTCGAGTGACCCTAAGACCTATGTCACAGAATGAAGCTGAACCTCTCAGAACCTTCCCAAGTCAAACAAATGTGGATCTCTATTAAAATTTTTTGTAAAAAAAAAAAGTTTGGCATACACTTAAATGTAATCTAGCATGTATTGAAAGTAAAACTAACATGATACTGATTTAATATGACACCAACATATCTAATGGCAAAACTGTATTTGGAATATTAACATTTATCTAACATGAAAATTTTAATTCTTGTATCAAATAAGTTTCCTTTTATATTGTGTATGGTGGAATACAGTGCTTGACACTCTAGCTGTGCTTACAAATGAGGTCCTTCATAAAGTGAAAGAAAACAATATCATGTGGAGATGAGCTGAGATTAACAGGATGGCACCGTATAGTAACTTACAAAGCCACAGCCATCTTCGTCCAGGAAAGGGTGGGCCTGCAGTAGGGCGCTGACCACTCTGTTATACTGCTGGGTGCTGGGATACCTGTTGACCACAAGAAAAAGGACATGTGTGACTTCAAATAACCCACGTTTCTTCCTTTCAGTTGAATGTAAATAAAAGAAGCCCAAACAAACCACACCTTGTTTTCAAATCTTTTCATATAATAATAATAAAAGCAAATAAATCTAAGTTAACACTCAAGTATGGGGCAATGTTGAAATTCTTACCAGTGTGTCAGAATTGGTGAAAGAGGTGATTGCAAATGACTTCTACTCCCTATTCTGCAAATGGACCCTCTCCACACCCAGAAGTCCACCTGATACCACTTACAGGGAGCCTTCCAGGTACTTCGTCATATCTGCCTGGAGGAACTCGATCATCCTTATCCTCATGCTGTGGTCAGGACACTTGTGCTCCGCCAACATGCACTTGACATCATAGGGGAACTCTGGTAAAACATAGGCCTTAGTCCACGACAAGGCTTTATTCCTTCCTAGAATATGCTTCACACTCCTGTCACGTTAAAAACACAAGGAGAGAAATGCTATATTCCGAGACATGCAAATTATTTATTCTCTGCACCTCAAAAACGTACGGCACAATGTATGACTGCCTTTCTGAGGGAGTCATTCATACCTCTTCCAGCCACCAACAAAAATATTTGAGAACCCATTGTCCTTTTGCACAAGCATGAACACTTTAGTTCTGAAAAAAAAGTTACAATAAAATAGATTTAGAATAAAACCTGAGGTTGAAAAAACCCCGAATTCATTTATCATGAAGAGATAATAGGTAATGCAGAGCCCCAAATTGGAAAGACAGCTAACAAAAGGGAAAAGTATTAAATTACAATTCAGCAATGCAAATGAGGCATAATAAAGGCTTTTAAAAAGCCCACTGTCTTTGAGTCAGTTCCAACTTGGAGTGACCTCCCTCCACAGGGTTTCTGAGGCTGTCAATCTTTAGAGGCCGTGGCTGCCTATCATTTTCCCACAGAGTGTCTAGTGGATTAGAACTGCTGACCTATGGGTTATTATCAGCCTAAGATGTATGCACTGTGACACTGGAGTTCCTTGATAAAAGTTTAAAATCTGTCTTTTTTAATTCCTCAGTTAATTAATTTATTCTGCTCTGTTCACTGTTAATATAGAAGATTCACCTAATATTGGTCTTTGGTCATTTTAATAAGATGAGTTTTATTTCTAAATTTAAAATATGTATCAGATGCTCTATGATTCCATTTAAATGAAATTTCTAGAAAACTTAATAAAGAATGATAGATACAGAAAGGAGACCAGTAGTTGCTTATTGTCAGACGTGGGAATGAAGATTAAATACACAAAGGCAAAAGATAACTTTCTTGAGTGACAAAGTTTACAAAATTAGACTGTGAGGTTATCTCCAGAATCATATAACCCACAACACTATTTACACAGCTGTACATGTAAATGGATAGAATTTATATTATATAAATAATAATTTAATTGGCTGTACACAAAATTAAATATCAATAATTTTAAATCTCAAAGATAGTACTTACTTGTTAGAGATACCTAACAACAAGAACAACATAGTAAGATTTCTGAGCAACACCAGGTAACTGAAATCATTTCACAGACAAGAAAGGAAGTTACAGAGGCAAACCAGTCATTGTTAGTGTTATGTGTCTTGGAATGAGAATTGACTCATAGTTGGCCCTTTAGTGGGTTTTCAGAGGCTATAAACCAAACAAGGAAATTGTCAATCTTTCCACTTCAAAGCAGCTGGTGGATTCGAACCTGGTGTCTTTTTTACATTAGCAGCACGGCTTACCCAGTAGGCCTTCAGGGCTCTCTGAAGGAAAACAGAGTAGATTAAAAGGCTAGATCGTTTAACTGGGTTAAATATTACTACCACTGAATTTTCTGCCATCCAAACAAAAGTCAGATGATTTTTGGAAGGCCAAAAATTCCTTTAGAATCTTAGATTACATTTTTAAGAGTGCATGAGCTATAATGAAATATGGGAAATAAAAAATGTTTTTTACAATAAAATCCCTTTCTAAGATTATGCTCTCCCATACGTCACCCTGGCAATCACTTTATCACTGGCAAAAATATGTCTTGGCTTAAGATACTAAAGTTTTGATACTTCAGTTGTGAAAAATTAAGATACTGAGTTGTAGTGCTGGAGAAGAGTCTTCAACACACCATGGATCACCAAGAAAACAAATAGGTCTGTCTTGGAGAGAGTGAAACCAAGTTTCTCCTTGGAAGCTAGAATTTTAAAGTTCCATCTCACATACTTTGGGCACATGGCCATGAAGGATCAGTCTTCAGAGAAGGACATCATGATTGGAAGGGTGGAGGAACAGCATGGGAGAGGAAGACCCCAGATGAGATGGATTGATACGGCAACTGGAACAATTGGGGTCAAAGTCAGTGAGACTGGCTCAGGACAGAGAAGAGTTCAGAGCTGTTGTACATAGGATTGGTATGAGTCGCAGGCAAATCGATGGCACACAACAAGAAGATAATAAAACCAAAATCAAACTCATACTTGTTCTGATTCTTAGCAACTCTTCATTAAGTTTCCCAGACTGTAAATCTTTACAGTAGAAGATAGCTCATCTTTCTCCTTTGGAGTAACTGGTGGTTTCAAACTACTAACCTTGTGGTTAGTAGACCAATACATAAGCTATGCTATTAGGGCTCCTGTTAGCTAAAACCAGCACACTACTGAATAGGTAACTTGCAATATAGGGAGTTGAATTGTTGTTGTTGTTGTGTACTATATAGTCAGAACTGACACATAGCTAACCCTCAGCGGGCTTCAGAAGCAGTTAATTGCACAGGAGGAGACTGTCCCCCTTTCTCCCATGGAGCAGCTGGTGGGATTCAAACCAGGTGCCTTCGGGATTGCAGCATAGCTCCAGGCCACTAGTTGCAGTTCTGCAGTTGCCTCTGAAAATCTGCTGGAGTCAGCTCTAAGTGGTTCTGACTTAGCAGTAATGAGTTTAGGTGTAGCTTTTTCCACGTTTTTAATTTTTATTTATTTTTTTAAATAGTAGTTTATTTATAAAATTCTAATACATTGTTTTACACACCCACACCAGATCCTTCCCATTTCTCACATCTCCCATCAAATTGTGCAACCCCATGATTAATCCTCCCCTGATGAGTTTTTTTTCATTGGAAAATGAATACTTGATGCAATAGAACAACAAGCTGTCTTCCCGGATAGAAACTTCTATTTTAGCCTAAATTCGTTTTCAATATAGCTTTCTCCCATATTACTCATTCAACTAGCTTTTATTAAGGACTTTTATTGTTGTTGTTACGTGCTAACCTATGAGACACCAATTGAATTCCCTGGATGGTACAAACTACAGACACACTTGGCCCCTAACCAGAAAATTACAAAAAAATGAGACACTGAAAATTTAGTTGAGGAAAATTCTACTCTGATACACATAGGATTGCCACAAATCAGAAATAACTTGAAAGCTTTAAAAAAAAAAAGGCTCCATAAAAAAAACAAATATATACTATTTTCCTACTATTCCCACCTCCTTCCACACTCTGCTGTTTTGATTTGTTTCTCACATGGTCAAAACCATCTGTCCTCATCTCCTTAGTCTACAGGTTATCAAGTAATGATGGGTTTTACTTGGCTATCATCTGTGCTTTCCCAGGAGTTTTAAAAGGTGTTCAGGTTTTAGAACAAGAACTTGGTTAGCATCTATATTCTTTTCCCCAGCAAATCTCCAGCCGTTAAAAGGGAGCTGCATACTCCCTGCAGACATTTGAAAGAATTTAATAAGGTATTCTAGAAGTGACAAAAATCAAAACAATGCCAACTAACACAAATTAAAATAAGCATGGCACAAGAAAATGACTCATTGGAAATTAAAAATACAATCTAATCTGGAGCAGATGGCTGAAAGCATAACCCTTTCCCATCAATACAATGATAACAAAAGATCTTTGCCGTAAGGTGAAGATTATTTATAACATCTTTATTAAGCTGCAGTTGGGCAGAAAACCAGAGTCGCCCAAAAGGAGGTGTAGGGAGTAGAAACCACCACCAAACTGAAAGGGCATTAGTATTTCTATTCCCACAACAAGCTAAACAATTCTCTAAACTAATGAATCCCAACCCAGAAGAATCAAATAGAAAGCTTTTAAAGCAAGTTAATTCCTATGTTGGTTCCCAGAGGAAATTAATCAGAGTGCACTGTCCTAAATATACAGTTTATAATTGTAATAAAAGTTACAATAAAGTTAAACAGATTTGATAATTGGCATTATTATTTAATTATGTGTTATTGTTTTTAATGATGAAATGAGAATTCTAATTAAAATGTACATTGATTATACCATTTTGTTAACTTTAATACCACTAGAAAGTTTTCTACTTTTACTCTGCTGCCCAAGAGGCTGGGACTCACTTGTGGTGAGAAAAAAAAATGTCTCTGTTCAAAATAGGTCGAATTTAGCACAAGCTCTACCAACAAAATGATTCAATGGGCAGAAGAACAGAAGTTGAGCATTTTTTGGAGGTAGATGAGCTGCAGATGCTACAGGAGGATCAGCTTCATCCCCAGCGTACATAGAACTGCTTAACAGAATCAGTGCATGATGATTTGTATCAACTGGGAGAACTGAACTCAGTTTGCTCTTAGCAAAGTCTTTTGAACATTTAAAGGCCTCCTCATTGCATACTTTAACCTGGCAACCTCCCTGCTATGCTCCTAAAGTTTAGTATATTACCTCTTTCTTGCTTTTCTTTGGACTCTTTCATTTGAATTTCTTCATATTTACTCTTCTGAACTGGGTTCCTTAGAAGTAGTAACGAACAAGTCCCTGGCCCTTTCATAAAGACATTTTTCATTCACATTTGCTACAGCTGATTATTTCACCACAACCGTCAGGCCCTTTATGTATGCAGTTCTCAAGTTATGAATGTCCGATTTACGGACAACGTCTACTTGTGCTTTAATGTTCACTTACTCTCACTCTGAAACAATGGTTGCATAATGGGTAGTGCTTTGCGCTGCCATCCCAAAGATGTGTGGTTCAAATCTACTAGGGGCTTCTTTGGAGGAGATGGACAATCTCCTACTATGTGATTAACAGTCTCTGAAAACCTGCTGCAGGGTCAGCTATGAGTCACTTCCAACTCAATGGCAATGAATTCGAGGTGATTTTTTTTATTATTTAATTCAAACAATCTCCTATTGCAACAAACTTATTATCACTATCATGCTTGTTCGCTGCCTTTGCAGCTCTTAAATCATCCCAAAGCTTTCAGGCCTTTTTCTACACTAAAATAAGGCTAAATAAGAACCATATGCACCTGTTCTGATTTACCGACAAATGTGACTTAAAGACACACAAGAATAGATCTCCTTGGTAACTTGAGCCTGCCTCTGTGCTGAGACCTGCTGACTTTCCTGCCTCCCTTCCTAGCTCTCTTAACCCTTTGTTCCTTTTATTTGCCAAATCATCCTTCTTTCATCTTCTTTGAGA